TTTTGAGAGGAAAGAAGGAACATTTTCTCCCCCATCGCTGTGAGAGAGTAGTGAGCAGCGATGAGAAGGACTCTCGGGTTTTTGGAGGGGGAAATGGGTGGTGATGTCACTGGGCTATCATCCAAAAGACCCAAAACTTTCTCACTATCTAAACTATGTCATGTGCTTTGCTTGCTTCCAGGAACTGAAAAGGATTCCCACAGCAACATGAAGAGTGCCCAGTGCAAAGACCGAGGTGCCCAGTGCAAAGACCGAGGTGCCCAGTGCAAAGGCCGAGGTGCCCAGTGCAAAGGCCAAGGTGCCGAGTGCAAAGGCCGAGGTGCCCAGTGCAAAGACCGAGGTGCCGAGTGCAAAGGCCGAGGTGCTGAGTGCAAAGACCAAGGTGCTGAGTGCAAAAATCAAGGTGCCGAGTAAAAGACCGAGGTGCTGAGTGCAAAGACAGAGGTGCCAAGTGCAAAGACCGAGGTGCTGAGTGCAAAAATCAAGGTGCCGAGTGCAAAAAACCAAGCTGGCAGTGGGGCATCGTGTGCAAAAAGGGCCGAGTGTACCAGCATGACTAAGCAGGCCTAAAGCGTGACCCTTCCCCACGGCCGGGAAGGCAGGAGGCTCCTCCCAATGGGGGTGCCCTTGGAGCAGGAGCTCAGCTTTCCCATTCCTTCATCAAGGAATTAAAGTTTCTGCTCTGTTTGACCAAACTCGGTCTCATTCTATGGGTGTGAGCGCACCTTGGTTTGGGTCCCCCCCCACCCAGAAGGGTGGGTAACAGTGACTTTTAACAAATATGAGAAAGATAATGAATTAGTGCTGAAAGAAACGATTTAACTAAGCCTGGCCCTGGCCGGGGAGCTCCGTTGGCTAGAGCATCGGCCTGAGACGCCAAGGTTTCCGGCTCTGTCCTTGGTCGGGGCTCATAAAGAATCAACCAACGATGCACAAATAAGTGGAAAAATGGATCCATGTTTCTCTCTCCCCCACCTCCTCTCTCTAAAACCAATGAAAAAAACTAAGCCTACATACTCCCTTCTTTTTATGAACAAAGCCACTTCCTTTTCTGGTCCCTTAAAAGTTGAGAATTGAAACAGATTTCATGACCTCTGCTCCTCTCCCCTCACCAGAGTCTTGGTTCCTAAAAGGGGTCCCCCCAGAATGTCTGGGACTGAGAAAACTAAGCAGCCTGTTAAACCCCAGCCCGGGCCGGGCCGGCAAGTGCCCCGTTTTATTCCAGGCGCTCAGAAGCTCAGACACCGTCAGAAGCCTTGGCGCATTAGGGAGGTAATAAACCTCTCCCCTTTTTAGCTTCTTGCCTGAAGAAACTGAAGCTCCTTCTCGGTTACATGAATCCAGTGGTTCAGTATCTCGGGGAGAGGAACCTCTGCTCATGGACCAGTTAACCCCAGCCATTCCCAGCAATGCCTTCGTTTAGACACAGGCTGGTCTTCCCGGCGTTTTGAAAAAAAAGACTTGCTTTCTAAAAGGGTATCCTTCTAAGTTTTCATTTGTTTGTTTAGGAAAAATCCTAATATCTGACTTGCTTTCTCAGAAGCTTGCACGGGGTTATTTTTTCATTCGCCTTTGAACAAATGTAGTCCAAACCACGAATTACTGAGAAACATTTCTCTGCCAGTATGCTGGAAATAAAATTAGAGGTTTAATGTAAAATTATTCAGCAGTGTTTATAAATAAATAAATGATCTAAAACCACAGTTTCAAAACAAGAGAAAAGTGAATTATATAGAACATACTTTCGTAGTAATACTTCCTGTCACACACACACAAAAAACCCCACTATGTATTGGCTCCTTTTTTTTTTTTTAATATTATTTTTTAAAATCCTTACCCGGGGACACATTCATTGATTTTTAGACAGAGGGGAATGGAGGGAGAGAGAGACAGAGAGAGAGAAACACCGATTTGTTGTTCCATTTACTGATGCATTCATCGGTTGCTTTATGTATGTGCTCTGCCCCGGGGTCGAACCCTCGACCTTGGTGTATCAAGATGATGCTCTAACCAACTGAGCTACCGGCCAGGGCCCAGGATCTCTCTTCACTTTACCCACTGAGAAGGAACAGGGCTAGAGGGTGAACAGAGCAGTTACACTATTTAGTTTGTGGCAACTAAATCCATTAATTCGAAATTCAGCAACAACAACCCTCTGGTCTTAACCATTCCTAGACGGTCTCTACTAGCTAATGGACTCCTGCTCTCTTCACCCGTATCCTTACCAGGTGACCAGGTATCCTTAGAAGGTCTCAAGAGACAACTATTACTCCTTTACACTGATACTGTCCTAAACAATTTATAAACTATTTTTGTATCTGTAGGTTTTTCTGAATAAATACAAAAAAAAGAAAGTCTCCCCCCTTCCCCTCCAACTTCCTTTCCCTTCATAAATTCAAGGAAAAGTGACAATTTTTTAAACTTCTTTAAAATCTCGAGAGAAGTGTATCAACAGTTTAATAAGCAGGCCAGCAAAGAGGAAAGAATCCTGTACCTTAAGAATTGATACTCGTGAGACGGTCTCTGAACTCCCGTGATCTGTCTCAGGGGCGGGGGGACCAGGAACATTTCCAGACGAGTTCGATGGATTGAGTACAAGTGAAGGTTCTGACCTCTGATTTCCAGGTCAAGAGATTTTCAATGTGCTTCACCTTGAGAAAGAACAAGAGACATGAAACCTTAAAATAAAGGGATTCATGCAATATTTATTTCAATTACAAAACGATTCTTTTCTTTAAATGGAAAGTTTTCAGCACGTATTTATTACCGAGTGAGGGGCTAGCTGAAAAGAAAGCAGAGCCCTGGCCGGTTTGGCTCAGTGGTTAGAGCGTCAGCCCCCGGACTGAAGGGTCCTGGGTTCGATTTCGACCAAGGGCATGTGCTTTGGTTGCAGGCGTGATACCAAGGCCCGGGTGGGGCCCGTGAAGGAGGCAACCAGTCGGTGTATGTCTCTCACATCGACGCTTCTCTCTCTCTCTTTCTCCCTNAGGTAGAGAAGTTCATTGCTAAGCTAAATGGGAGATTAGACATCGCTACTCGGTGACGATAAATCGAACAATAAAGACGAATTGCTTCTGAACCCAGACGATAAACAATTTGGGAGGGGGGG